TTACTTAACTTCTGCCTCCCTCTTCTCTGTTGCAGTTTCTCATTTCAACCCGGTGTGTATGAAAGGATGGACAAACATATCACTATTTGTACCCTCTGGTATTAAAACGATGCTTTTTTGTATTTCTTGCTGCATTCCGTATACGACTTCCTACTCAAACCAGTCAGAAAGCCTTCCCGTTTGTACTCCAGCTGATAGATTTTGGCAATACTTTTCTGCAACACACTGGTTGAGATTGCATAAACTACACTGTCTATGCCCTCGATGAACAAATCTCAGAATGTTCTTTAGTGGCCAGAGCAGATCGCTCTGATATAGCTACGGTTTTCAGCTATCAAGCTCATTCGACCAAACAATTGTAATCCAAATTCTTCAACCTGTACGTCTGCGGGGTTTGAGACTCTGTTCACCACAAACTGCACAACGCTAAAAAACCACGAGCAGTTCCAAATAGGTTACATCCATAGTAGACAAGAGTGATCTTAGAGGCCATCTAGGATGTTGCTTGGTTAGAGTTGTACCGCTGTCTATAAAGCCAGTAATGGCGACGTTGTGCTACCAAGTGATACTGTTTGTAGGTGCAATGTTTATCATTACCCTACAGGTGGCTGCACTTAGTTTGGGCTTTCGTAGAAATAGGTTGATTAAACTGACCGTAGCTACTAATATCAAAGCTGAATCATGGTCAGCAGATAATTCTGACGCACACAAATCTTCAGAGGCTTCACCGTCGTACGGGTTTGATTTTCTGTAAACATTGCAGACGGTTAAAAAATCCATCAAGATATAAGTATGCACTGTCAGACACAGGTTAGCGAGGCCACCATAGGAGGTCCACAAGGACTTTCAGCAACCGATTCACCAGAAACGTCAGCTATGGCTTACAGGAGTTTACAGCACCGCCTGCAGGGAGTTCAAACGTATAACGGACTTCCAAAACAGCGGCTGGTGCTTCGGGCGGGTCAAATTTAACTAGCTATTTCGAGCGATGCCATCAGCAAAGGCTCCCAGACGCATGATGGAACAAAATTTTTGTTTAAGGGGCTTAGAGGCACAGAGTAATAGAAGACACCCTTCCATCCAGAGATGCGCGAACATGATTTCTACTTATATCTAAACCACAGCTCCAACAAGGGTTGATATGGAAGCACCTAAAACGAAGCTGGTAATCAAAGTACAGCATAAGATTCGGGGGATGGCTGGCTCAAAGGAAGCTGATCTTCACAACCAACTTGTTAAACTCTTATGTCCATGTTTTTTATTTAAATCACCTTAATTTGGGCTTGCTTCTATTTTCTGAAGAGTTGGTGTGGGACATCTGCTATCCGGTCTCAAGTTTATGGCTGAGGTCCCCCGCTGAACAGGACAAGAGACAATAATAACAGTAGATCGAAGACCTAGCTCAAAGGGACGCTGTGTCGCAAAGTGAACTTGCAGCGGAATAAGATGGGGTTAATTAGGCTCTGGTTCTGCGCTGTATGTTGTTCACACGACGGCTAAAATTCACTTATCTAGAACCTCCGTTAGTAGTGCAGTGAAAAAACGCTCGAGTGTTTTAGGCTGCACCCACACAGATATTTTGCTAAAAGACGGGAAAACAGCGTCTCAAAAGTTCCTTAGGAGACCACTTCTTTTAATATGGTCAACTGTCACTGGAGCTGATAAAAAATACTATGTGTTCGGATAGTTCTTCGAAGTTAAATCGCATGATTTATTAGTTTGAGAGAGAATGATAAGATTTCTTGGACATTTTTGCGCTACCAGGTCAAAAACACCGACGGTAAAATCATGGATGGCTTCTAAAGATTAGACGCAGATATACAAACCCCAAGAAGAACAGACACCCCAAAATTGGAGACATTTTTTGCCTCCAGTTCGTGTGTGTTCGTAAGGTATTATAGTGTATGTCATTCTGTTTAAAAATTGTCATTGGTCTACTTGTCAAGTTGGAGGTTGTCTGAACGACTTAAGGATCATTTCTACACGTTGAATCCAAAAAAAATGCTAAACTGGTTGCATCTAACCAGTGAAACGTTATCCTGGTTTCAATGGTCTGTGATAATTCATCAAATTATTTCATAGTTATTCATCCAGATAATGGTTTGCGACTATGTCGAGTTGATCTAATCAGAGACTGATTCCGCTGTGCCAACCGAACTCCGAAGCATGATCTAGAAGGTGATTGGTGGAAGGAAAACAAAATGACCTTCAGGATATGATACCATGCTAGCCAATCGAAACAATCGCCAACGCCAGCTGAAACCTACTGGACGTTTGATTAACAGAAAGTCCTATCTGGGCCAATAGCCTTCTGTTGAGGAAGCCATCCAATGCAGTTACCAGCCTCGATGGACATACCCACAGTCGGTATCAACGCGCTTGGGAACACCTCACCAAATAAAGAATAGCAGTAGAATCAAAAATCGGGAGTTCTTCGATCAATACAACATTACTTGTCATCGGATATGGTTGTTTATACAAATTTAACTCGCTTTAGATTTTGTCGATTCTGTTCATAAAATTTTGTCCGCAGTTTTTTTTCATTCATCCTCACTGAGACACCTTACTAAGGTATACACAATTATTGAAAGAATAAGCAGTTGGAAATTAAATTTTTCTATATGTATATATATACATCATTTACTCCCACATTTACTCCCGCACAGATTGGCACAGACTTGCAATCCACTGAACTGGCTGACTAACGACGTGAAATTAGCAATGTCTCAATAAACTGAACACTCGAATCAACCACCGCCACCGCAAACTAACCAGATATCAGTGATACGATAAAAACTTTGACGATAGTGAGGTATATTGGACTGTGTCGTAGACGTTTTCGAAGTACAAGAACTGTACAAGTTAACGTTATTTATTATCCTGGTGATATAGAGGCAGGAGATCGCCTGTCGGAATCACTCAGTATCCCGATTAGACACTTCGAGTGCAAGCATTACATGGAGACGAATCAACAAACTACGTTCAAAAGTAATTTAGTTTTCTGTGTTTATTACTGCTTAAACTCGACGGTGAACCTCCAGAAACCAATTCACCAAAACAGTGAGAAATAGTTCAGATGAATCTCCACCACATCCATTTTGATTTTCAAACCAAAAAATGTTTCCATTTAATATTGTTGTGGTTCATGGTTTTCTCTGTTAATGTGGCGTGTGAGTGGCAGGTGCTTGAAGAACTTGGGGCGGAATCAGTGATTTCTAATCCTTTTGCGCGACAGTCGCTTTTTGACATGCATTTATTAAAATGTATGAGCACTAACCCCAGATCTACTATAGTAAAAAGCTGTATATGCTTCAACAGATGTCGGTTAACATTTATGGAACGACCGGTGAACTGTGGTTAAATTGAACGGTCTGGATAGTCGCCAAATTAGGAATAGCAACCGGTCACTTATGAAGGACTAATGGCCGGCGTACCTCCGGTTCTAAGACAGTGGATTTTAACATACCAAATGGCACACCTTCTCTTGATCTTTTGAGACGTTTGACCTGGGAAGATCGCCCGGAGTTATCCCCGAAGATAATTCATCTACCAAGTTCTAGGGGAGTGCATTTATCTAGTTCTTGGACCAGACGGGCAAGTTTCCTAAAAAGCGCATGCAACTAATCAAACTCCTATCAGTTCTGTCTTATAGAGTTGCACGTACCGCACGATATCAGCTCACAGATTCTACATAAAAAGTGCTGTCTTTTGCGTATATCCTCAACTAAATACGGAGGCAGCGCTTGAGCTGCATAGTTGGATGAATAACAGCATAGAAAACCATGGATCCTGATCAACCCTACCATTCCCACCTCCTGAAGCCATGTTCTGTTCAAAAACAGTGATAATTTTAAAAGCCCACGAATTTGCCACACCAGATAAACTGTTGGCACTCTCTTCACAGCCAGGAACAGCGCGTATGGATAGGAAACAGATCACGCATGCAACCAATTACTGGTACGCTAATTGAATCCCCGTCAACACAGATACACGGGCCGCAGACTCTAGACAAGAAATGCACGTCCCACCAACAGAGGTGACTACACAGAAGGGAAATCAAATCCTTCTTGAAGAGACGAGCCGTTTGAAGCCTAGACATATTCCTGGCACGCATGTTACAGAGAATCAATGAGGGAAACAATTTTCAACCTGTTTGCAAACAGCATAAGTATGCATTGACCAGTATGCATTGCTCCGGCTCAAAGTCTACAATCTGCATATACGTTCAAAAAGCTAGCCAAGCAACTAGGGACATATCCGGGTAAAAGCACACTCCACTCGGCGAAGTCTACTCGTTGCATTTCAGTAGCACGACAGCGTCACGCCAAATTTAACCCTCAAGTCAGCCTCTAGACTAGGAAATGAACAGCCATCCGGATAATCCTCATGCGTCAAAATGAACGAGCTTTTGCTGTCCACACACTCGTGATAGGATTGACATCTGGAGCAGGATCAAGACGGATGCAGTCTTCGCAGGCAGATTGCCTTGTCTTGGACTACTTTGAATTCCATCAAGTAATATCTCATTTTGTGGAGAAGAAGGCTTATCATACCAGTCTTTCAGTCCATAGGCTTTACCTTATGGCATAGACATTTTGCTCTGAGAGGCCTACGTTTTTAGGAGGCTGTCTTTTGCTGGTTTGTTCATCAGAAAAGATTACAACACATGTTTGTGTCTATGGGGTAAAATTCATTGTACCAAAGCCGGTTGCTATTTCTGTCACCAAAAGGTGCCCGAAAAGAATCACAGCTCTGAATAAGGAACAACCATGGCCTGAAGCATTATATTACTTTCTTCATTAGCATTTTGGACTGTATCTCTATCGATTGACTTCGGACCGGAACACAAACTGAACCAATCGAAATCCGAACAAAATTCCCTGCAGATCACAGTCACATCCTGTGTTTACCGGTAACGCTAACATAAATATGCATAATTTCCACAAGTAAACAATGACACTGTTGTGGGCAAAGTGCAACAAGCCTGAAGTTTCATAAAGGAAAACTACTCACAAGGTTGTTGAAAACTCTTCGACAGCCCACGACCGGTTTCGCCCTTCCGCTTGGGGCTCATCAGGTAGGCGCCGTCCCCGGGTTTCCGTCAACCTTATGTTCTACTTGAATCCAAATTGGACTACTTTTAAGAAATACTCTCGTTTGCAAATCAATTTGGTTTTCATGAGAGACAACTGAATCTCTCATTTATGCTATTCTACAACTGAATGTGCTGCACAAAGGCCGCCTCATGATTCAGCTGGCACGATATTCGAGACATTGCAGTATATCTTCATGAAGGTTGCTGAAAACTCTTCGACAGCCCACGACCGGTTTTGCCCCTTTTGGGGCTGATCAGGTAGCCTGAATTTTATTTTTCACTTGGAAAACAAACTGTGGAAGCATCTTCGCTTATTAGATGCTACCGTCATGTCTAAACCATAGTTTGGTGTCTCCATTATTTATTGGGTGGATAATATAAAAAAAACCAAACAAACTGACAAAGGTCCCACCAGACTTGTGTAAATCACTCACTAGCTGTTGAAGTTAGGAATAAGCAAGATATACCCAGTTACCCAGCATAAAAATTTAGAAGTTTACCCGATTACACACCCGGTTAGCAAAAGTAATGTGCTAACTATAGAGAAAAATGTCGGTAGCTCAAGTGGCCGTAAATGGTCGTTGGCTCGTTCGCTGAGCTGGGCAATTTGATTGCAAACGTTTCCTCATCAATCGAGGTGACGTCGTCAGTGCCAAGCTCAAAGGTCACGTGGGCATCAGCGAATGAGGATGCGGGATAAAATAACAACCAATGGAACCGCCCGACCGAATAACTAATCGCAGTCAAAGGTCATCCCCGGCTACCAGCACGTATATCAACAGATACGTAACACTACTTAATGCACAGCCACTAACCCACCGCTACGCACACCTACGCTCCCCAATAAGCGCTGATGATATCATCTCGATTGGTGATGGAAGTTTTGCAATCAAATTGCCCAGCTCAGCGAGCAAGCCAACGACCAATGTACTAACTTGTTCTTCATAATCTGTTTACCGTAGTTCGGTAGACATCCCTGGTTCATCCAACTACACCAGTACTCTGTCCAGTCAAATTTTAAAGGCGACTAGAACGTTCTGATTCATCTTTGAAATCCAAGCATATATGACGATAATATGGTTGGGCACTAAGCGTTAAAATGAATGGATATTTTGTCATTGGTCTGTGTTAATCAATCTTCATGCTTTCATAGTCTTTCCCATCACTTTTATTCACAACCAAAGTGAAATTGCGTCCGAGGGAGGCAAGAGGTCAAGCGATAACTTGAATGTCTGTAAGCAAAGTTGGAAATATCTCCCAAACAAAGAGGCGGAACATTTGAATTTATTTGCGTGTATCAAATACTAATGAACTTAGAATTCAAAGGCAGGGAGAGCGAAAGAGACCTTTAGGATGATGACAGCGCGGGTGTTGCAAATTCCTTCAGTGTGCCATTTTCGAAGGAATCAAACTCGCAAAGTAAAGCTCATTGTTTTACTAAAAAACTTGACTCATAGGGTTACAGAAAATTCTTCCAATGAGACTGGTCTTATCAGTTAGGCGCAGCCCCTGAGGTTTCCGTCGGTCACATTTATGTTCCGATTTAACTCGATTTGTACGACATTCGACAAATATACTCAGCTGCGCACCAATCGGGTCCGCACAGGAGACTCAGTTGAATGTCTCGTTTGCGATGTTCTTCAACGGAATGTGATGCACAAAGGCCATCTCGTGTATCATTTTGCGATAGCGTGGTGTATTCTGTATAGTTAAAACGGAAATGCCATATAAATGTGTGTATTTCATTATAAACCGTCGATCACTTATACTAATAACGAGGAAGCTGGGTACACGAGTACTAGTAAGTGAAAACGAGTCGCTTTCGACCCACGTCGTTTGCTCACTGCGGGTGCCAGCATGTATACATGGTGATAAAGCATTCGAACAAAACTCACTTAATGCCACCTGATGAGGTTGCACTCAGGATAACTTTGTGTGAGGTAAGCGGCTGATTTCACTGACGTTTCACTTTGTGAAACCTACGAAAGGAGTGTCCTCGCCACTTTCAGATCACTCCAACCTTGTGAACGCGTGAGTAACCGCTGTGTGAACACCCCAAAGACGAGTCGTTACCAGAATAAATTGATTAGTTGTAGGTGGTTGAGGGATTTGCACAGTTCACAGTCACTTTGCTCTCTTTTAGACAGTATTTCTCGTTTCCCGTGGCTTTACTTTACTAGGAGGCAGGTTTCGCAAATCTCGCTCATATTGAAGCTCATTAGCGTTGCAGATCCTTGATCGTGCTGAAATCCATACTTCGGACATTGACAGGCAATGTAAGTGTGTTACCGCGGCTACATCTAAATGTTCACGCCTGAATGGGGCAAACGTGTTCGCGCTTGAGCGATGTGACGCCCGAAAATTCTAACTATGGTCCAGTGAATTTTCTGGTTGTGTCGATCGACTGACTCGGTTCTCCGGGTTTCTCAGTTGGGTAGAACCATGGAGGTTTGAAAGCTTCTAAAAATAGAATAAGTTATCCCTAAAGATTCCCCATTAGATTTGAATGGCACTGCGGCTTTTAACAGTCTTGGTCTTACAAGATGTTAAATCCGAACCTTATCCAAACATGTGCCGGTCTACGCACCGATGCCTCGGACAGTAGAGGCTGAGGCTGAACTTTTATCACTGCTACAATGACCCGCTTCTAAACAATGCAAGAAATTGAAGATATCATTATTGTCTGACTGTTAGCAACAATATTCTGTGGACTCAGGGTCACTTTCGTGCCGACATGCTGATAGCGCACATGGTAAAAACTGTCTAAAGAGTATGATAAAAACACACTGCCCACTGTTCTGTTATTTTCTCACAAAAAGCCTCCAAACGCCGTACTTCTGTCGACGAGATTCCTTGATTAGAACAGCAGTTGTTCAACACGTTGCTTCTGTATATCAACATAAGAATGACGTTGAAATTCAAACGATCTGTAACTTAAGCGCTTTGAATTTTCAGAGCAAGTCTGCTCCATTTTTCAGAGCAATCCTGAGAAATAAATTATTAAACTGCTGGACAGAGTGATGCAAAAGTCACTCGACAAACACGACGCAATGAAATTCTGTGATCAAACTATTTACTTGATCATACATGATGGCTGCCGGTCCAAAGTGAAGGGGTCTCCTGGTAGACTCCCATTTATTAGCGTTGTATGATTCAAAACGGACCAGACACATACAGAGACTTTCTAGCCGAGCAGTTGCTTGGCTTAAGTAATAAATTCCGTGGAACTAGTAGATGGTAGGACCTCTTTACCACTGCCTTTCGTGCTCAACATGAAATAAATTTGGCCCGACCGTCCATTCTTTGGCACAAATTACAGACTCTGATTCCGTGTCATCTAAGCTTCAGTAAGATTTTTTTCACGGCAGCCTCAAGGCGACATTTCTGCGGAGTGTGGGGGTTGGGGTGTAAAATCACAAAGAGTAAATCTGACGTTTTGGTTGGTATAACATCCTAACTCACGAGTGTGATCAGTGAAACGATTCAGTAACAAGCTTACCTCTAGTGATTCCACGTTCATCGCCAAGGCGGGGAAAGGGGGCCTGAAAGCGGCTGCAACATTCCTGGAAGAAAGTCCCAGTGGAACAGCGTTCTCTCAGAGGAGGCAAGGTGCGTATCAAAGAATTTTTAGCATCTCATTCTCAGCTTGAAGAAAAAGAGTGTTTAATGATTGCGATGTGACTGGCTTCCCGAAAATTCGCTAGCACAAAATTTAACTGGCCCTTTTTGGGCTTCGGTTGCGTCGTGGTCTGAATATCTTTAATATGGTTGGTGCTAGATCAATCATTAAGATGGGAATACTGGCTAGAACGCAACATACAAGAAGGAAGCAATGAACCAGTCAAAGCAAAGAAACAGAACCACAAAAATGGATGTATTCAATGGGCCACCTGTTTATAAGATAGCCAGGCCAGAATGCAACGCGAACCCAGGGGGGCCCAATCAAGTTAAGTTCAAAAAACCAACAAGGCTGCACCCACTAGTTACCCTTTAGGAATGGTACAGACGCGGGCAGAAATGGAGGAACTAACCGCTTAAGCACTCACTGACATTATCCTTTTGCATGTGGTGAAATGTTTTCACCAAAACGGGCAATTTCTACAAACGGATTGACTGCTACTTGGTCAACTCCCAAAGTTAGTTTTGTGCTTGCTGAAGAAGTCAGGCCGAACAATGTCCTCTACAAACTATGGAAACTAAAAGCTGATAAAATTGTTGATGGGCCTTTTGAACATGTAATTGTACGCTGAAACAGAACTCCCGGGACTGGACAAGATTTTACATTATGTCCTGAATGATATCGATCTGATGGAGGCGGACGGTCGGATAAGAAATGCCTTTATTTTCTACGTCTTACCTCCAGTTAATTGCTGCGAGCTTCACAAAAGGTCTCCTGAGGAATTCTCACTCGTTCCAATGGAATCACACCTCTTTGCATGAAACTGAATCTTCTGAAAAATAAACGACTGAGATAAATGTATGCTTCGGGAAATATTTGGTCAAAAGCCAATAGGAACAGCCACTTTTAGGTCGCCAAAACGAGTATCGATTGCAACAAACACACTCGTTCGCAGTTTGGTGTTGACCGGAGACTCAAGGGAAAAAAACAAACCGATGAGCTCCTAGAAGGACGAAACGGTTCGAGGGCTGTCAAAGAACTTTCAGCAACCTTATGAGTATTGGATTACGTACAAACGGAGGCATGTGGTGGCCTGGTGCAGCACAATCAGTTGTTTAAGAACATCATAAGAGAGAGATTCAGCTAGGTTCCAGGTGAATCTGTCGTCAAAAACAAATTGCCATGCAAATGAGCATATTTGTCCAAATATGTTCAATTAGGATTCAAGAGGAACGAAAGTTTGACGGAAGCTTAAGGATTCTACGTAGCTGGTGAGTCCAGGAGGGCGAAACCTGTTATTTGTCCAAATATGTTCAATTAGGATTCAAGAGGAACGAAAGTTTGACGGAAGCTTAAGGATTCTACGTAGCTGGTGAGTCCAGGAGGGGCGAAACCTGTCGTGGGCTATCGAAGAATTTTCAGCAGCCTTCCGAGTAGTGTAATACATCCATAATGCCAGTTTGTTTTTCTGTGACTCAAGAGATCATTTACTTACAGACGCACAAATGCACTCTGTCGCCGCCATTATCAACTTTTAGTTTCCTCGGTCGCCTGGTAAATCTGCTGTTTTTGGAACTGAGAAGATATTTTTTGCAATTTACGGACGGAAGATATAAAACTGAGCACCGTCTTGGTGTGCACCAGTTTGTGCATGCGAAAATCAGTGAAAATTATTCAAGGTTAGTCTCATTCCCAGGTTTCAATTTCTCTTTCATTAAGGGCTTGATGTAGCATCATCAGGCTCACCTGAATTGTTTTAAGCCTCACCAGTTCAGTTTGGAAAATATGCTGCCCATCTGTTGTGCCTCTGTTCACCTATCCCAATCCTGTCAGTGTCCGTCGTACTCTGCAGGTGCCGCCAAGCATGGTCTGGATACCAAACTCTTTTTTAGAAATTAGTTACTTAAAATTTGCGAGTAGCTTAGTTTATATGTAACATTTTCAAACGCTGAACTCCGGACATCCGACATGCGAGATAGACATGTTATCACTACTTCACCAGCGAACGGTGGACGCGACTAAACCCCCTCCTTAACAGGTGAACAAGTTCACGCTTCAATACTGCGAAGTCAAGTGGAGTAGCAGATTCAGTTGCGTCTATAAATTTTACGGTGTGGAGCGGGGGAGATGAACAGGAATGAAAATTAATTGGCTAAAAGGAGAACACAACCATACTACTATCGTTTGTAAAATATACTGATTTACAAGTTCATTTGTTGGTAGCTAGAGCGCTGGGTAAACTCTAGCTGAATATCTCGCATATGGTACTCTCCAGATGAGTGTACTACACAAAGCCTGCTCCAGGCTCCATTCGGGATGACATTCAAGGCATCACAATATAGTTTCGCGAAACAAGTCATCCATAAGGTTGCTGAAAAGCTCTTGATAATCCATGATCTGTTGACCTCTTTTTGGGGCTTCAATTTTCCGTCAACCCTAAAAGCCACTAGAGAGTTACGCTATACACAACTGGTCAAACCGAACTGATACTAAACGGATACTAAACCGAATCCCAGCTGGATCTCTCGTTCATGAGGTTCTTGAACCGAATGTGCTACACAATGGCCACCTCAGGTCTCAACTGGCAAGATACTCGAGACATCGCGGGATTTCTAGTTGAGATAACTCACTGCACATGAGAGGACTGTCGAAGAGCTCTCAGCGACATAGCAATGCTCCGTCAAGGTACCACTAATCTGTCCAGCAATGAAACAATTCAAAACTGATCGGGCACTTCAGTGTCAGCGTCCGCACACCAAACAGTGGCGAGCGGAATGATGGCTCAGTGCAGTGTGGGTTGCGGTCGCTCCTTCCGACGACAGTCTCGTGATTCTCACTGGCCGTGCGATCACACGGATATCTTGAGAAAACGAGTCAAGGCAGGCTCAGCCAACGGGACACGAACTAGCATGGGTAAGTAGGTCAGTGGCACACATTCACACACAGACACACATACGGATACACAAGTGCTAACGAGATTCCCTTCGAGGAAATGGGAGTGTCGAGTACATGTGAGCTAAACAAAAGGAGATCAGAATTACATAAGTGGAGTAGGTAGACGAATGGAGTCGCGTTAGCGGAATACGCTCATTTGCAAACTAATTTGGTTTTCTGGGAGACTCAACTGGAACTCAGCTGAATCTCCCGTTTGTGATGTTCCAAAGCAACTGGATGTGCTGCACCAGGCCGCCTCATGTTTCAGTGGCTACGATATTCGATACATCGCAGTAAAGGTGTATTTTGTAATGCACTACTTGTAAGGTTGCTGAAAATTCGCCGACAGCCCACGACAGGTTTCGCCCTTCTTGGAACTCATCAGGTAGCCGCAGTTCCCGAGTTTCCGTCAACCTTATGCTCCACTTGTAACCAAATTGCACGACAATGGCGAAATACACTCAGTTGCAAACTAATTTGGTTTTGCGAGATACTAACCTGGAACCCAGCTGAATCTCCCGTTTGTGATGTTTCCATGCTTAAATCGTCCACAATCAAACGAGAATACACAGTTGAAAGAAGAGAATGAGTCAGTCACCGTGCGTCGTGACTGGTCAGACTATGTTTTAATTTCTCATGTGATTGCGCTCGTCGGTTTGTGTGCGTATCCTATCTGTCCTGCAAGAGTTACTTACGTAGCTGAGCAACCGCTCTTGGCCTAGCTGTAGAGTGTCTCTTGGCAATTCAGCATAGACTACTGACTTCTTTACGGAAGGAAATCTCAGTTGAAAATTTCTAATCTCTTTACACTGCTAGTAAACGGGCAACTGCATCTATTCTGTTGAGACATACAAGTCCTACTCGGTCAAAAATTGCGCGACGGTCTGCATGTTGCGATCAGTCCATCAACTAGTTGAGAACATACAAAAACATCCAAAACAATCAAAAACGTAACCAGTCTCTTCTTTACAGAAGCAGGATTAAACGGTAAATTGGACCTCGGCTAAGAGCCGTAAACCCAAGTATATGGCGAAGTGGGGTTTGGGTTTTCTATGAAATTTGTACGTCCACCAGAAACAAAGCAGTCGTGTATGGTCCCGCATGACACTCATCACCACACCAAACTGGCACAGAGAAACGGACTCCTGTGCGATACTACCTAAGCAACCAGTAAAAAAACAGTCTGTCTGTTGTTGACACCCAAGGCTGAAAATGGTTACTCTTGATGAACTTTTTTTCAACTCACAACTCAACAATGTCTTCAAGCCCGACATACTGATGCCTGTTTTGCGGAACACACTCCTAAAGGCCATAATAAATGCACTTCATCAGTTTGGTTATACCCAGACGCACGGCTTGAATTATGAGACACATTGGTATCATAATGAAGTTCGCCAAACGGGGTAGTTTGCTTGCAAACAGTTGGTCGCCCATCTTGGACACATTACCACTACAGCAAACGGGTCAACATCCATATGATGTACAATCATTGAGAGACTTTCCAGCACAGGCTTTCATAGCGCGTAGACGTCACAGACGCCCTGGCTGCCTAGAAAGTTGTGTGGGCCAGTGTACAGACAATAGATTCTCTCAAATCAGCTTTTTATGGCAACATAACCACATAAATCCGATCGTTGGACCTGTTTCCATTGGGCCAAAAGTTCGGCTGGGTCTGTGTATACATAGCTGCTTGGTAACTACCCTGGCATCAGCCCCATTAAGGTCAGATGCCCCGTGATGCTGTTGTAGCTTGCTGGACGGTAGTGCAACTCTGTATCGGTCGCTTGGCTTCTTGCTCCGCCCACTATGGTATATCAAAAGGCACGGTAGCTTTACACAGCCCTTTATGGAGACAAAGGAAACTCATTACAACTGTATTTATAGGGTAGTCACAGAGTGTTCCACAACGTCGTGCCAGAATCTCCGTGAGGGGCGAGAAGCGTCGAGTCAAGGTGCTTGGCTCGGATTGGCTGGCATCCTGACCCGTGTCCAGCACGTGACACATCCGTCCAAATAATGTGATGTTCGCGAATATACACTCATTTGCAAACTAATTTGTTTTTTCCGACAGACTCACCTGGAACCCAGCTGAACCTCTCGTTTATGATGTTCTCAGGCAACTGAATGTGCTGCACCAGGCAGTCTCATTTTTCAGTCGCTACGATATTTGAAATATCGCGATACATACATGGTGTGGTGATAAGAGTGTCATGCGGTGCCATACACGACTGCTTTGTTTCTGGTGGACGTACAAATTTCATAGAAAACCCAAACCCCACTTCGCCATATACTTGGGTTTACGGCTCTTAGCCGAGGTCCATTTTACCGTTTAATCCTGCTTCTGTAAAGAAGAGACTGGTTACGTTTTTGATTGTTTTGGATGTTTTTGTATGTTCTCAACTAGTTGATGGACTGATCGCAACATGCAGACCGTCGCGCAATTTTTGACCGAGTAGGACTTGTATGTCTCAACAGAATAGATGCAGTTGCCCGTTTACTAGCAGTGTAAAGAGATTAGAAATTTTCAACTGAGATTTCCTTCCGTAAAGAAGTCAGTAGTCTATGCTGAATCGCCAAGAGACACTCTACAGCTAGGCCAAGAGCGGTTGCTCAGCTACGTAAGTAACTCTTGCAGGACAGATAGGATACGCACACAAACCGACGAGCGCAATCACATGAGAAATTAAAACATAGTCTGACCAGTCACGACGCACGGTGACTGACTCATTCTCTTCTTTCAACTGTGTATTCTCGTTTGATTGTGGACGATTTAAGCATGGAAACATCACAAACGGGAGATTCAGCTGGGTTCCAGGTTAGTATCTCGCAAAACCAAATTAGTTTGCAACTGAGTGTATTTCGCCATTGTCGTGCAATTGGGTTACAAGTGGAGCATAAGGTTGACGGAAACTCGGGGACTGCGGCTACCTGATGAGTTCCAAGAAGGGCGAAACCTGTCGTGGGCTGTCGGCGAATTTTCAGCAACCTTACAAGTAGTGCATTACAAAATATACGTTTACCACATTCAGTTGCCTGAGAACATCATAAACGAGAGGTTCAGCTGGGTTCCAGATGATTCACTCGAAAAAATGAGTTTAAATTTGCTAATTTCCCGCAATTTGGTTTCAAGTAGAACATAAGTTTGACGGAAACCCGGGGACTGCGCCTACCTTTTGAGCCCCAAAAAGGGCTGAACCGGTCATGGGCTGTCGAAGTATTTTCAACCACTTCATCAATAGTGTAATACGTCTATATTTGTATCACGATATCTCGAAAATCATACCAAGGGGAATATGAGGCGGCCTGGTGCAGCACATTCAGTTGCTTGGGGACATCACAAACGGGAGATTCAGCTGGTTTCCCGATGAGTATTCCGCAAAACCAAATTTGTTTTCAAGTGCTAATCTATTCCCATTCGTCTTAACTCTTTTATGCATCTTCATTATCTCGAGTGTCACATTATCACAGCGGTCCGTAAATTAAGCAACAAAAGAAAGAATTACGAGTGAAGTACACATAGCAGCAAACAAGGAAAATTAGTGGACAGCGTCCCAGAATGCCAGGTCATTTGACATCGGTGTACACCACCCTAGTGGAACTCTGAGTTAATGGTATTTTATTAAAAATACGCGGAAACGAGCAGAAAACGAGTGGAGGATTACAAGTGTGTAGTGCGGAGTTGAGATAGCATCTTGGTGTTGTGAAATAATAGAAATGGAGCCAACTTGATGACCCATATATGGCTCTGAAGGATAAACTCACCGCTAAAATCACCGTAATCGGTATGTACTCCAATACTGTGGATAAAAGACCAGAAATCATGGGTGTTAAGTAAGAATAAGACTGGATGATTCAGGCATAACCTGGTGGAGCAAGCCATGGCTGTGTGATCTTGAAATGCTTTGTAAATAATTGGTCAGTGTTTACCGTGTTGTGCATTGGCACACAGTAATTCTTCGGGAACAATGCTTTCCAGAAGGTAGGGGGTGTAAATAAGATCTCCCAGGGGACAAAAATGAATAACAGGCAAATAGGGACTCTTCTTTGTATGTCTTTAGACTTTAAGCTTAGATATGTAATAAATATTCGCTTTCACGTTCGAAAGTTTATATAGTGAGGTAACCTGCTTGATAAAAGCAATGTGCCTCCCATACGTTCAAAATAAATACTTCATTTTTTCAGTAAAAGGTAAAAACAAATTTCAAATGTAAAACAGCAGAAAACAGAAACCACTATGAGGTAGTATTTTTAACAGGTTTCAGCTTTTCACAGAATAAAGCAAGCAGTAAATTAGTGCAACTTTTACAACTCGGGATTTTGTGCACTAAATGGCGAAGTTATGAATGTTGGACTAACACTCTGCGATATCCTTACGTTCTGCGCATGACCTCAAAGTTATGAATAAAAGGCCCATTTTTCTGTGTGTGCGCTCCATCCCTATTTCATGTTTTCACCCGTTTTCTGCACATCTTTGAAGGAGTTCTGAAAAATATTCAACTGCAGAAGATTTTCGATTCTGGACTGAGAAAACAAGCTTTGAGTTAAGTTAGCTGTGGAAAATATTGAAATCTCCGGTGAATTCCGTTTCTTATAAATTTTACAGGGCTGTCTTCCTTTAGAAAACTAGTCAGCGCGTCTCTTTTGGATGCAATAAAAATTTACTATCTTTAAAAAACTCGTCGGCCAGCAGAGAAACTGAAGCTGTCTTACGATGAATACACTCATTTGCAAATCAATTTGGTTTTCACGGTAGATTCAACTGAATCTCTCGTTTATGATTTTCTGCAACTTAATGGGCTGCACACAGGCCGCCCCATGTTTCAGTTGGCACGATATTCAAGATATCACAATATATTTTCATAAAGGAAACTACCCACAAGTTTTTTGAAAACTCTTCGACAGCCCACGACCTGTCTCACTCATCTTGGGGCTCATCAGGTAGGCGCAGTCCCCGAGTGTGCTTCTCGAAAACAGTCCAGTTAGGGTTCAAGTAAAACATAAGGTTGACGGAAACTTGGGGACTGCGCCTACCTGATGAGCTCCAACAAGGGCGAAATCGATCGTGGGCTGTTGAAAAGTTTTCAACAACCTTGTGAATAGTTTCCTTTATGAAGCTGTCTTATATGGCACGAGAATTTCAAATCGCCTGCTTACAGGACCTGTCAGATGTCAAACCTAGAAAAAACAAATCTACAAAGCAGTATTTTTCATGGGCATCAGTTTGATTTCTGTAGGCCACTCATTGATCGATAAACGCGGTATCGGACCAGAAGCGTCGATAAACTTTGGTTTTTGCTTCTTATTCGTATTTGTTCAGGTTTTGACCAGTCCGACTCCTGGGGTCAAAAGTACATTACCGGTAGCTAAGGCAGATTACTGAGGGAAAATATTCTCAGCCACCATTTTAAAAATTACAAGGCGTATTAAGCGTGAACCCGATGGCATGACATGTTTTCTAGGGGACAGACGAAACTCCGAGAGCTAGCCAGTATCTGTTTCTGTAAACGGTCGCGTGCCTACTTTTGACTTGTAAGTAGTATAAAAAGGGCGCGCAATCAGGCAGGCGAACTACCAGTATCCAGACATGGTGACACAGAGTGCTTGCATTCTCCCATACACATGAATGTGTGTATAAGAAGCCAGTCCTGTCAATACCAACGATTCGCGTTGCTTATTTGACCCCAAATTTTGACAATCTCATGCAATTTATCTATCAAACGATGCATCAAATAAAAGGATCATCTGCTCTTGTCATACTCTTTTCATTCCACGATAACCGAGAATAACTACTCGTTTGTCTTAGAAAGCCGACTTCAACCGTGGTATGTGGTATCGTGTCACATGGGTAGCGTTATACAAAACCTACGCTAAAGCATTCAAGTAGCTCACGGGTAATTTGTCCTGAAATAGTTACGGCTCAAAACGGTGAACCGGTATTTAGTGAACTGCATTACCAAGACATTCTCATTTTGCAATGTTCAGTCATGTATTAGAAAGAGATGGACCAGACTGAAGATTCATATGATACTTCATCTAGAAAGTGAGACTGTTCTGTGTCAGATACTGATTGGGGATTGTTCAGCTGTTTTGCGCTTGTTCGAAGGCATCGCTAAAGTGTATCGCACAAAAATATGGGTAAATCGACGCGGCAACCGATGGGTTACTGGCTGAATTTTGGAGGTCATGGAGTAGAGAATGGAAAGACAATTTTTTGCTGAAATTTCAGTATGTCCTCACTACCTGCACCTTGGGTTTGTCATAGCTTTTTGGTCAAACTCTAAGTAAGTAAAGGTTAGGCGAAAGACCAAAGTGTCAACGAGTCTGCAGTTCTGTTATTATTATCTGCATAGTTGTCTCTGTAAAGAGTGGCTACTAAAGATATAGGAGTTATATTAACAATCCAGGAGAATCGGGATTAACAACATCACTATTTTTCAAAAAGGTTTTTTCACAAAATATCACGTCATGTTTGGTTGTTTTTGCCCGTCAAAACATGCTTTGCAAAACATGAGGGAATGGTTCAAGCCTAACCAGTCAGTTTGGTTGCCACTTCAGGTGGCAAACGTGTGATCGAATTTGTGGGATATATATGGTCTATCAACACGACCTGTAGATTCTTCGGTGTTCCTACCTTGCTCTCGAAACCCTCCGCTTTGAGATCGTTACTCCCAAATACATCTCCTGCAGCTGGGTTTATCATGTTAATCGAAAGGCAACCGACGAACATCGTCCATATTATTTCAGGTAGTTCTAAGAGAGCACCAAAGTGCCAAAAATTATAACCTTAAGTCTACTCTCATCTCTAAGAATACCCCCAAGACGACACACCATGCAGCGGCGCACAATTAGTGCACGCACTCCTGGAATGGAAGCATTCCGCACCACGGCCAGCAAAATTTCATGAATTGTCTGACGCCAGAAGGAGCTCAAAATTCCTGTGTTGCACAGCAGGGGTAAAAACTACGTATAATTAGCGAAATACACTCATTCGCGAAATAATTTGGTTTTTCGAGAGACTCACCTGGAACCCAGCTGAATCTCTCGTTTGTGATGTTTTCAGGCAGCTGAAAGTTCTGCGCCAGGCCGCCTTATGTTTCAGTCGCTGCGATATTTGAGATATCACGAAACATGTATATTCGTGATGTATGTATAATTAGTTTCAGAAGAGATTGGTAAACAATCAATAGTTTTTATTTGGGCAGCATTTTGCTTTGGACAAAAGTTTCATCAGGCTAAATTAAGTAGGTCAAGTAATTAGTAATAGTCAATAGTAATAAATAATAAATAATAATAATTAATAATCAGGTTATACGGGATACGCTGGCTTTGGACAAAATCTTTCAGTTACCGGCAGAGGACCTTCTACAACGTCTGTGCTTCTATATCGCAAGAAGAATGAAATTATACTTGGCGGAAATATAGCGCTTACACTAAATGTCACCAAAAACCGGCATTTATCCTATTATTATTAAACCCGGTGGTGGGACACATCATTTGTCGGCCTGCGTTGGCCTCAACTCAAATTTGTAAAGGCAGAGATGTTGAATGCGAAATGTCTCCTAAGGGATTCCAGATTATACGACCACCACTAATCAAATAACTCTTACATAGTGGGGTAGTTGTTGCATTGGTTGCATGCTTTGAGGGCGTGTGAACGGAGCAAAAATATAAAATTTAGGTGGATACAATAAATCCCTCATCTAAAAAAAAGTGTCTTTAAAAAGGCGCTGTTTCTTTGCTCAGCTGGGGTCTTGTGTACGATAAAAAACCTAGACACTGTTTCTTTGTGGTAGGTGCTGTTTGTCTGTGGTTATCAAGGACCAATAAACGGAATGTACTATGGAGGTAAACGAACAAACATCACGGTGGATAGGCGGAGAGATGAAGCCTCAAGGGTACCCAGACCCCGGCCAATCAGAAACCAGGTCAACCAACAGACGAATAGGAATACTCCTCCAAATGATCAGATATTGATCAAATCCGACCTGCATGAGCAGACCCGCAACAACCACGCATTTCTACCAACAATGCACTGGTGAGGTCATCTCAACTGATGATGAGACGTTTGCAACCAGATTGCCCAGCTCAACGAACAAACCACTGCGATCAGGGTGTATGTTCACTTTTCAGAATCCGGTGGCATTTTTCGGAAAACACACCGGCACACATAATGAATCCAATGAAAAGCTGATAAAGTGCTGGTTCGCTTTGCCTCATTTTCATAATTAATGCCCCCAAGAATCAGTACCTCTTCCGTAACGTGTCAATAATCCCCAGCCCAATTCTCATCCAAGAAAGGTAACACGAGGAATATCGTGTATAATATGTACCTGAAGATCCGGGCAACACACTACATGATGTGACACACCTCTGCAGTCTGTGGAAATACATCGCTGTCCTGTACAGATGAACAAAAGTGGTGCTCAGGTATCCGTCAGTCGAAGGCAGAGTCTTTACTCCTTTTCGGCGTTGATGGGTTTTATCAGTATGATTATCGGGCAATAAGCCTAAGTAATTTATCTATCTGTAGGTAAAAGAGGCGCAATGTGTTTCTCGATCTTTCAAAAAGGCTGCTCGTAATTCATTCAATGGAATTTATAAAACTCCCTGCTTTCAAAATCATCTGAAGTCCCCGTCAAAGATGGTGGACTCATTGGGAACTGTACGACTTGTATCATATTCTGGACTGGCAAATGCAAGGCTTTTATCTCTCAGAAGTACAACATGCAAAATTCTTCTGTGTGCTAGTGGCACAGCTGGCAGCTGAAACGTCAGATCACGTGTCATAAGCACACATCGCTGAATTCAGCTAACCAGAATTGTGTGGTATTCGATCCGCAAGTGGGAGTCGATCGCCAGGGATGAAGCATTTATCTACATCAATCTGTCTACAGTTCAGTTGGCGGAGCATACTGAAACGTTCTGAAGTGAGCTGGTTTTCTTTGCTCGTGAACTAAACTAAGGGCAACTTTGGGCACGGAATGTTAGCGTTGAAATATTAGTGTGACTCGTGCCCCACCAATTTCAAAAGATTTCAATCTTCTACGCACGAACTTTTAGTTAGCTGAACTGAAGGTGGCTTCATAATAAAAAAAGCGCGGAACCCCATTATAAACTGAAAGTTCTAGCAACTAATACCCCATCCGTAACCAGTCTCAGCGCGAGTTCAGAAACTTGGGGCAAGTCCTGATGTGGGCTCATCTAACCGGGACACCAATCTAAGGCCCTTTCAGAAACCGAAAGATCTTCTGGAGAAGGCTATCAAACTCTTTAATGGGTGTAATTCCGCCCAGTGTGAAACGAGGGGACCAGTCCTTCAAACTGTTTATGCAAAAAAGTGGAATGTATGATTAGGCAGTGCTGTCTGTATAAACCTTCCAAGTAGCTAGCTCTGGTAAAATTCTGTTCAACTATCCGCAGAATATGCTAATAGATCTAATGGAATATTACCATGTACTTGGTTTCGTTTTACCCAGTCCGGGTTTTGGGAAACCCCCAAGAGTTTCAGTCAAAATAGAAGACTAACCGAAGAGTTTTATTTTTTTCCAAAAAGAACAATATGCCCTATCAAACAAAATTTGTAAGCAAAATGGTTGTTTACAAATAGCCAATTGTTTTCGTTTCTGTATATTTTGGACTTGGCATTAAGTGACTACGGGGGTCGTAGGGGTTTCTCTTGAGTCTCGTTGAGTTGTATTCATTCAACTGGCTCACACAATTTTTTATCTCTTGTACAACTGTTTTTATTACTTAAAAAAACTAAACACTAAATCGAGTTCATCAGCAGTAAGTAATAGCCTGAACAAGCCTGAAACTCGGTTTTGTCCTAAATGACCTTGTCCCACTACCCCTTGTCCGGTTATCACCGTTCAGTTTCCATAAACAGCGAAGGCTGATAGCAGGCAGACGTCGTGTCAAGTTAGTTATTGCGAAACGTTTTTAGTAAGAGACAATAATTCTCAACCTTCAATGACTTCATACAGACCCAACTAATAGTCTGACTTTGTACAACTTGTGTAATGAGAGGAGTTTCTGCTGTCTCCGCAAACTAGGGATCCTGACACATTGACAACGTAACAGTAAACGTAGCGAAGGAACCCCACTGGGGTATCTCTGTAAACATCCAGTGTAAGCTGTTGGCCTTCTGGATAGTTCACGGAAGAACCAAACCAGGAGATTCATACGTTATCACGAGGCCTAACTGATTTGGTTTGAGCCTTGAAAATCAACTGAATACTGTAAGAAATCTCTCCCACAGAATCATCTGAAACGGTTAACAATCGCCCTACAATAACTCCTAAAATTAGCTGTGAAATGTCGTTGAAAATATCCATGCCTAAAACGCGCCTCACTTGATTGATCTTTGTTGAATAGTCTATTCCAGCGGGCACAGCTAGTCGGAAGATATAATCGATGAACGAACCTCCCTAAAGCCTGTTGGCCTTCAGTACTTTTCGTTGCTTCAAGTCATGAGAATTGTTTGACCAGGAGGGATGTAATTGAACGCACAGTGAATCACGTGAACCGTTTGACCGACTGGCAGCTACAGTGGCGGACACCGAAGACGTGACTGTATGGGGAAAACTGTTTGTCGAAAACCCGTAGGTTAAGAAAGAGCGACGGTATAACTGAGACATAGCAGTGAGGTTGAACCCCCTTTCCATGGCTGCATCAGGGTTTATTCTTTTTTTATTCTTACTCATCTATAAACTGTTCGCCGACGCTTATGTGGCTGGAGCTAATATCTCTTACAGGAGACCAAACAAATGTCATCTATTTTCTGAGTAAATGATCGAGGAAAACATTGTTCTTACGATAGAACACTGTGAAATTGCGAGAGTCCCCCATCTTGGAGGAACACCACTCATAAAGTTGCTGAAAACCCCTTTCTTCATCAAAAATCTTTAGGTGGTGAAACCTGGTTTCTCATTAGACAGCATATATTTAGCATCTACCTAACAGTTTATAAAAAAATTAAATCGCAAAAATTAGTGAAAAGATCTCCCTGAAAAGTCAAGTCATTCAACATTTGTGTTTTTGGGTGTTCAAAGTGAAATCGTGGAACAATCCGAGGTGGTTTTTTTCCGCGTACAGCCGACATTTCTAATCAGCACTAGCCCGTTTGATTCCAATGCACACCAAGATGGCACAGATAATTTCAATCAGAGCGAACAGGAAGGCACACAGAGCCGAAGAAAGGATGAATTTTTCATACAGCTGGTTGAGCTCAGGTATGCATCCATGAAAAGAAAGAGATGTGCAAAAGACGAACGTGAGATTATCGGGTCAATTCAAGTCTGGAAGCCCTAAAAAATTGATTTTCAGGAGCAGAGTATACAAATTCAGTGTAATAAAACAGCTATTAAAGTAGACAAAGAGCGAAGAAGTCCCCTTGCTATGCTGCTCCGGACACCCCACTACACAGGAAGAGTAGACAATAATAATGCTTCTACAAGCTTATCTTATAAGTCAGCGGAGCGTAAGCTTCGAAAGTCTTTAACATGCTGATGGAGACCAACTTTAAGTAAAATCGGCCGAGAAACCGGTCCAGAAGAAAGTATGGAAGGGTTGCTAAATTTTCAGGCAGTATCCTTTAGAACCCACGGGTTTATTGGTTTTCGAGTTTCGGAAAAAAGCCTTATGACCATGGAAATACGGGCTCTAAAGTTTTGGTTCAGATATGTTGTAACACAACGTAAAAACCAAAATGGTGAAAGCTGAAAAGCCAATCAGTTATTTGGTCCGGAGCATCACGTTTACCCGTTGTCGGAAGTCAGAATGATACAACGAGAGTTTCGGTGTGTACGAATTTGCAAATTGGTGGGCGGGTCGGACCCAACTTTGAAAGGAGAGTTGAATACGCGGAATGTGTGGTTGAAGAACTAGTGACAACACCATTCCCAGAAATGTTATTCGATGATCTGCCTTGTCACTGGTTGATCTTCTGAGCCCTTGGGGGTAGTTTTTGTGTTTGGAACGTTGCGAGTACTCTTATGAACTAATAAATGAACCACAGTGTATTTGCAGATCATCAGTGTATCAATCATAAACCGATTTGACAAGATGTTTCCTCTGGGCACTGTTATTTCGGCATGATAAAAATATACCAATGTTAAAGCGTTTGTTGATTCGGCATGATTGGTTAAAATCGA